ATATATATAGCAGAGGTTCCAGTAGTAATACAGCTCTTGCGATAACTGCTGTTTGGTTTACACACAAGCCCGGCATGCTGACGGCTCAACAGTGATTGTAAATCGAACTCCGAACACAGCGACACCGCTAAGTTCTAGGCAGCTGGATGCGTAAGCGATATAGACCATTCAGGCCAAACTCCCTGGATGTGCAAGTTCACAGGCAAGAAAACCAGGTCTTGTTCAATCAAAATAAAATCTGCTACAAAGTAGGTATTTCCCTACATCGTAATAAAGATCTCAGACATAGACTGACATACCCTCAAGTAAAATTTGATACATATTTATATACCTGAATATAGCCGATCAGCTGTGGGGCCATACTTGTGCCCAGGTTTTGCACCGCGGTCATAGTTCCGAAGGCGGTGCCGAGCACATGGTTGGGTAGGATGTACGACACCATAGGCCAGACAGCACACGCCCCCTACATTTATTATGGAAATGAATTTGAGCCAGAAAAAGCGTATACAAAGCTTTTATTCGTCAGTGATGAAGCTTAGAACGAAATATTCGGATTTGTGGCAGATGGAGCCCTCAAAGACATACGAGAATGTAGATACCGGTATGTCAATTAAAACATACGGCGGATGATTAGCTCTGCCCCATTTTATATATATACGAATATTCGAAAGGGGTTCAATATGTACACATCACCGTGCCTACGAACCAGACCGCATGTACAGCCCTATATGGTTAGATCAAACGGTACCCAACGCCAACATACCATGGCGTAAGCAATACCCAGCCAAACCATTGGGAAGATGGGGTGCACCTGGAACCAGTCGTTGGCATTCCCGAGGAACACAACATGAGCGATGAGCAGCATGACGCTAGCCGACCCACACCAATACAGAGCGCGCCCATACTTGTCTACCAGATATCTGAAGGTACACACACGGGGTACAGAAAGATACATCAGTAGGCGTAGCGAGTTCATGACGGTGAAGCACTTCGAATCATAGGCTGTCTCAACCGCATCAGGGTTATGAGCCCAAGCTGAGACCACAGGCAGGGCTCCATATACGTTGCAATTGGTTATGGTGATCAGCAGAGTTTTGCAACATCAAATCACTCACCCAACAATTGGAAACGCGAAGACCGACGTGAAGTTCGGGACTGCGAGGAACAAGGACGCCGTTTGGGGGTCATACTTCGCACCGGTCTGTTGCATGATGTCACTGTGAGATTATGGGTGAGTGTAGACGAGTGCAGATTAGATTACGGATATATATATATGCGGGCCTCCTCACCTATTGGCTGTACTCAACTATAATCGGTTTGTAGAATATAACTAAATGCGAAATGAAAGTGGGTATTCTACAATTGATACTTGGAGAAGGCTTGAGCACACACACCTGGCTACGGCGTAGAATGTCAAGATTCCGATGTAGAAGAAAAAGCATATACCGAAATTCAGCCAAGTGGCCAATGGAAGCCGTAAGATGTGCTTCAAGGACACCTTCTCCTCAACGGTCTCTGCCTGCGCAGTGCCAAATCATGAAGTGGCATAAATTAAATGACACTAATATTCCAGATATAGACACAGAAACTCGGTCCGAGCGCGGTAAAGTTTTGCAATAAATTGGCCCCACGGCCTCACGAGGAAACGAGAATGGTATAGAATCTAGCTGGAAAAATTGCTCTGGAAAGCAGTATCTGAAAGGATGATAGCAAGACCAAATATAAAAATACTGTAGCTGTGAGCTCTGGGGCCATATGACGCATCCCATACCTTCAGACGATCTTGTCCCCAGTAGTCCAACCCGGTGAGAAGAAGACAGGCCACCATACTCAACACACACATTGCTGTACCCATCCAGATAGATATAGGGACCCCTGCATTAGCCAGCATCGGCGTGACGATGAAGTTGACACTGGAACCCAGTCGTGAGAAGCATAGGACTACCGCAAAGCATAGCGACAGGTACGGCCCATCAAACCATCGCACTGTAAAGGCGTTCTGACTCACAGTCAGCGATTCACCGCCCAAGCCGAACACAAATCGGCCTAGAAGACAGACCCAGAAGACTTTGGATTGCACTCCAATGGCAAATAGAAGCTGTCCGATGGTGATCAAGCTGCGGCGAGGAAGAGGGGCAGGAGGAGAGAGAGGGGGGGAGTGAGTTCTAAAGCCAGAGTGTGCTTTAAAGTATACACCTGAGTAGTTCATATCGGGATAGAAGGCGGCTGGCACGGAAACAACTGAACACTTGGCTCACAAGAGAGCCAAAAGGCGTTTGTATTGACCACAGTTGGGCGAATAGCTTCAACGAAGAACAATACGACACTCAATCTCGTAAGAAGTGGGACAAACAATAATTTATAAATGCTACAGCGGAGAGCTCTCACATGTCGTGATAGACAACTGAACTGTGGATACATACTTGAGAATTTGATAGCAGCACCGACAAGGTCGAGCAAAAAGAACTCGTGAACAACTCATAAATCCGAATACATGTGACCAGTATGCGACACAGAGTGTACTTTTAAAGAAGGGCTTGGAATGAAATGAAATGATTGCTTACGCGCAGAACAATACAGAGGCTGCGCGCACGCCCAGAAAGCCGTCAATCAAGTATCCGCCCAGTAACGCCAGCACGATATTGGGATAACTGCAGTAAAAACAGAAACGCGTTAAATGGGTGAGTGCTTGCGCAAGCGGTTGTATCTCCTTGGCTTTCCTAACCATCGGGAATTTCGAGTTGAGCACGCCGCTCCGAGTGCACAAGGGCAGCAAAGCATTTACAAGTTTCAGTCCCACAACAATAAACAGGTGCAGCCATGACCGAGATACCCGTCACTGTATGGGTACATAATCTGGCAACACTACACGAGCGGGAATGGAGTTGGAGTTTTAACACAAAACGAAAAACAACGAAAGCTCACAATACATACAAATGAGAATTGACCTAAAACGATTCAGAGTGTACTAACGGAATACCTGTATACTGAGTAAAGATTGAGATTCATGGATTTGGTGTACTTCTCGGGACCACCGAACCATTCCGTTAGTTGAGTCTGAATCGCACCTGGTGGAATAAATAACGGTAATATGTTTGTGATGACTATGTATCTAAAGGGAAACTAACGATACGATCAATACATCCAGCTATAGCGAGCAAAGAAAAGAGGAAAATTTATGTAAAGAATGAATCTCTTGAGAAAAATAACCTCTAGTCAGCCTGAGGGAAGGCATATCAACAACTGCAGAATAAAATCGGAAACTCGACACAAACAGTTGAACACAGAAAAAATACAATACGTCACACATACGAACGCACACAACACATGTATTAACAAAACTAATATATATATATATATAATATAAATATAAATATATATACATCTATATTTAGATACATACATACATAATTACATATACATGCACATATATATATATATACATATATATAAACACATATAAACATATGTACATACAAACCCACGTACACACAGGCACACGCAC